CAACCTGGTTGATTCTGTGATTCTGTGGGGGGGCTGTCAGTGCCCCTATTCCTCCCACTGGACAATGTTCCCTGCTTGAACACACCTCCCTTTGGATTTTGGGGTGCTCTGGCCTCAGCTGTACCCCCTGCTGCTGCCTATTGCCTGCTCAGGCAGATGCTGGGGGGAAGCATCCCACACATGAACCAGGTCTGGCTCCATGGTCAGCCAAGTTAGCCATGAGCCAGCAAGGTGTCCTCAGGGAAAAAACAGCCACCAGCCTCCTGGGAGGAGGTGGAGGGAGAGGACTCTTCCTCTCTGCTCAGCCTGGTGTACTATTTCCAGTTCTGGGCTCCCCATTAGAAGACATACTGGAGAATACAGTGATGGGCTGTGAAGGTGATAGAGGAGCATCTTCCACATGTGGAGAGACTGAGATAGCTGGGTGTGTTCATCCTGGAGAAGAGAGGGCTCAGAGGGATCTGATCAATGTGTATAAAGACCTGATGGGAGTGGAGAAGGTGGAGCCAGACTCTTCCCAGTGCTATCCACTGACAGGACAAGAGGTGATGGGCAGAAACTGAAACACAGGAAATTCCATCTAAACATGAGAAAAAACTTCTTTACTGTGCATGTGACTGCATACTGGAACAGGCTGGCCAGATAGGTTGTGGAGTCTCCCTCACTGGAGATCTTCGAGAACTGTCTGGACACAATCCTGTGCAATATGCTCTAGGACAACCCTGCTTGAGCAAGGAGGTTGGACCAGATGACCCACTGTGCTCCCTTCCAACCTTACCCATTGTGTTTCTGTGATTTAATCCTGCTGATGGTCATTTTTTTCTTTCATGTAACCAGCTTTGAGCAGAAACATCTTCCAGCCCATCAGGAAACACCACGGTGATCACCATCAGGGTAATCAAAGCTCAGTGGGCTCAGCACCTCTGATGTGCTGGCAGGATAGGCTCAGCAGGTTACCTCCTCTCTGCAGCTGACATACACACACACACACGAGATGACTTACTTCTAGTTCAGGTCATCATGCTGGGGATAATAACCCTGAGACAGACATTTCTCCCAGAGCAAATGGATTTGAGTAGCTCATTTGCAAGCAAGACTTCAGGCTGTGCCTCCAGGGCATGCAGTTCCTGCTCCAGACCCTCTGCTAGAGAAAGAGGCAGAAAATATGCTTTTAGAGCACAGGGTATATGAGATACTGGGCCATGTGAGCAGCCCTATGGGAGAGGACAACAGTTCAGGGTAGTTTTGGTTCTGCCTCTAAACCTGGGTTGCCTGCTCACTGGGCAGAAAAAGAATGTGGATCTGCTGAACACATATCCCAGCCACGTGGTATATCCAAGGGAATACCCGTTCTGCTCCCTCTAACAGAGAGGAGAGCCCACAACAGATGGGCAGAGAGTGAGAGGAGCCAGTGGTGGCAGCAGTGGCTGCAAACAGAGTTGCTGGTGCAACCACTTCCACCAGTCTATCCAGGATGTTCTCCAGTTCTGCTGGAACATCACCTGGGAGCAGAATCAGACCCTGGAGAGGGACCCAACTGTCCCATTCCTTGGCACAGCTGGAAATAGGTGTTAGGGAGCAGCACCCAGGGCTTCACCAGGGAAGGGGCACTCAAGAAAGAGCTTCGAGACACTGCGCAGAGCAGAAAGTCTCACCAAATGCACGTAGTGAATGTAGTAGTACAGGAGGAAGCCAGGACAGGTGCTGAAAAACAGCAAAAACTGGTAATTGGATAAAAAAAGAGTCACAAATGAAGCAGCCTCAACTGGAAGTGCTTCAACCCCCAGAGGTGCTGAGCACCCTGCAGTGAAATTCAGAAGAGCTGCAGATACACAGCCCATCTGGAACATGTTTGGGTTCGGTATGTGGATTCAGAAGCCAACAATCAAGTGAGAAAGCAGAAAGGTTGGATCCTCATCTGCATCAAAGAAAAAGCAACATAAAAATGCAAAATATATAGAGAGAATTAATTAGGGAATGCATATATTTTTGTTAGCTGTTCAGAATTAATTTCACAACAAGACTGCGGCTACAGCTTCTGCAAGGGCTGTTCAAGAGCATGCACAAGGGTCAGGAGAATTGCCACTGAGAAATAAAAAGGAGGAACTTACACAACCACTCTTGGGGTTTGATAAAATACATGCTGCATGAACAATCTCCCACTCTCCCCACTAAAACAACTGCAAAAGGGGCAAATGAAAGTTATTACCCTGCTACAAATATCAGTCACCCACATAGTGATACACCATAATGGAGCAGAAGAACAAATAACAAAACCCTAAGTATTTAATGAAGCTTTTATTATGTGAAAGCAAGTAGAGTTCCATTTTCCAAGCCATGGACGGTTCAATAGTTACAGCCAAGTCACTGAAGTTCCCAGTGTGGAATTAGTTCATCCTGTGATGTGTTGCTGCTGGAGAAGTCCTCAGCGAACTGGGTAGAACTCCTCCAAAAGCTCTCCTATTTTTTTCTTTTCTGCAAGAGGTGAGAAAACCTAATCAGCACTTGAGATTGATTCAGATGTGTCATAATAAAGTCCTTAGGTTAACAAAGCCACCAAAGACCTGATTTTTGCTACCAACAGCAAACCGTTAGTTTGCTGTTTTAACTAAACACCAAAGTTCTTTTCCATAGGGCTCTCCACAGATCCCTGTTTGGACATTAACACTGTTTTATTTCCACACACTCCTTCCAACACGGCATGACGCAGGCCACAATCCAACAACCAGAGTCACTCAAGTGTATTGTACAAGAAACCAGACAATTTTCACCAAATTTGCCATTGCACTGTTGGGCTTAGAGACTGCATTTAGTACAGAACTGCTGTTCTTCACCACAGCTCTAAGCCAATAGCACTTCAGGTTTCCTGCCATGTCCATTTATTCTTTTCTCGCCTGCTCTAGGCTTATTTTCTGAATATTAATCATTCAATTTCTGAATCTGCATGCACAGGCATTTTACAAGAATACACAGCGCAATTGTGACGTTACAAGAATAAACCCTGTGATTTCTAATTTCCATTACTTCATTTCTTCTTCAGTGGTACAAATTTGGTCTATCCTTGTTTTTGGTTTTTTTCCCCCCTGCTATTTTTATATTAAAATAAGCTTTTAGGAGGAAGAGGTGGCTGACAATGCAGATGAACAGCTCAATGCAAGTATCTATTTTCACGTCATAAAATCCTTAACACTTTAAGATTAAGAGATCCACATTTAGATTGTGGATAAGCAGGAAAGGCAGCCCAGCGACATCTTGACACACATGAGCACTCGTTAACTGGCAGGCTACAGCAGGCTGAGGTATTTTTGTAAATACCAACTCATTGTACCTGCTGTCTTAAAGTCTTCTGGGTGATGCTTGACGTAGGTAAGCAGCTCTCTGTCCAGCTTGGCGTGAATGTAGTCCGTGCGTTTAACAAGGTAGTAACCAACAAACCACCCCACGGTCGTGTACAGGATCTGGCGGTGAACACCTGCAGCAGGAAGAGGAATCTCCTCGTCTCGGCCCATCTCCCAACCTCAGGCAAGGCCCCTGCTTCCCATGGGCCCCTGCAGGCACTCCAGCCTGCCGTGCCCCTCTCTGCTTTGTCCCTGCAGAAGTGTCTACAGCACTTTGACCCAGACCCCCAGTGTGGTCCCCCCTTCCTCAGGGCTTCTTCCCCTTCCCGTCCCCCCACATCCCTCAGAGAGTCCCTCAAATCCCCTCCATCACCATATGACATCCCTTTCCCAGCCTCTTCCAGTCACTTCCAATCTCCCCCTGCCAACAAACCCCTCACCCCAGGGCTCCCACCCCTTCACTCCCCCCC